TGTTTATAAATTAAGTAAAAAATGCCAAAAAATGTTGAGGAGATAAAAAAAATAGATGTATTATCTAGTTAGGCTTTATCATAGACAGATGGCAACATTAAACCGTCAGTTCGGTTGCGCTGAATTTAGAGGTGATTGTTATTTTTCTAGATTCGGTTATTTAACCGAGTAATATCAAATTCAAACTTTAAGGCGGGACCCGTTTTCGAGCGTAAATGCTCTGAAAATCCGTATTGGAGAAGGCAAGGAATCCAGATTTGGCATTTATTAGTTTTGCGATCCGAAAATATTTAGTAAAGTCTTCATACAAATAAAAACATCCAAAAATTACCGAAACGGCCAAAAACATTGATTTTTTTTATGGAATATTTTTTTGGAAATGCTTTTTCTTATTATTATTATTTTGCTTGACGTTTGTTTTTTTTACTCAGGTATATAATATAACCAAGTTTGAAATCATTTCAATTTGAAATAGATGTAATTACAATATAAAATTTTTGAGTTGTATCGAAAATTTTTTTATGAGTTGATTCAGCGTATCCGAACTGACTTTACTAGGTAGGTCGTTGGGTTGTTAATTTTTTCGACTAGCACAGTGTTGATATTTTAATTATTTCTTTTTATAATTATAGTTGTTGCGGGCTTTTTTAAAAAAATTAAATTCTAAAAAATTAAATTTACTTCAAATATTAAAGTAAAACAAAGTTAAATAAAATATTTAAATAAATAAAATAAAAATATGTAAATACTGTAAATTAAAAATTAAAATTTTAAAAATGTAATGTTGGGAAATTGGTCGTAACGGTGATCGAAGGTGGACTTTACCGAATTGTAATACGTAGCTCTCTCCACTCGGTTTAGCCGTTTTGATCATGTGGTTATCGAAAATGCTGCTGATCCGCAGTTATTTTAAGAATGCACCCGATGAATTAATCCAGATCAATTGCAGTTAAGAATAAAAGAGTTGATCCATCTGTCTATGCTTTTAGACTCGCTGACTTAAAGAGGATTTTACATAGAAGTACCTTCAAAAATGAACGGTACAATATTGGTTTAAATTTTCTCTGTCAAGAATATTATTTTTAACCAGAAATTTACAGGCTGGTATTGAATTAAAACTAGCCAGTTCCACACTATTCCGACAATATTTAGTACAATTCGATGCAGCATAAAATTATGCACAAATATACATACATATGTAGGTATGAGTGTGTCTGAATATGTGTAAGTATCTACATATGTATGTGCGAGTATATTTATACAGCCACACAAAAAGTTTACTTTTGTTATCCACAGTCATTCTCTGCTTTGTTGTAAAACTTAAGTGCACTACTTACTCATTTATTATGTGCCTACCACTTGACTTTCTGCATATGCTTAAATTTTTTATTTTTTTTGCTTGCGTACATACATTTTTAGCTTTTATTATTATAATTATGAGAAAATGCATGCAATTTTTACAAAAACAAATAAAAAATTTAACCAAAGTGCGTTTCAGTGTTTGTGTGAGCGCCAGAAAACTTTATAAACCAGCAAAAATTTCACTTAATTAAAAAGTTTTAATTCAATCAAAAACTTGTTATTCTTGGAGAATATGCCGAGCACATACATACTTACATATAATACACTTCCGACATAGTGACGCCATTAATTAATTCACATACTTGATGGCCTGACCATTTTATGGGTTTTATATTGGTGTTTATACACAAACGCAGATACAGTGCTTTTAGCTTTTTTGAAACATTTTTTTTTTCAGAAATATAAATTTTAATAAATATGCGGTTTTAATTATTGAATTTGACAAAATATTAATTAAACTATCGTATGGTATCACAAAAACACCTTTGAGAAATAAGTACATAAAGTATATACATAGATACACCGTGCGTCAATTTTACGCACAAAAAAAATCGATATGGGTATTCATGTATACTATATATTTAAAGTGGTTTTCCATACGAAACTAATTAAGTTTACGAGGTTTACGTGGTTACGATATATTTACGCATTTATACAAATTTACCCAATATATTCGCGAAACTTTCTTCTGTGTATGAATCTTAATAAATACACATACATAAATCTTATTCCTAAACCGTTGCTTAGCACATTTCTTTAATTCAGTGTCAATATTAAGGCATACATTTAGGAGATGTTCACGTATGGCATTTGTGTTAGTGTCAATTTTGAATTGATTATTTCGCTTTATTTTAAACTATTTTGAAATTTGATATTTAGTTTTCTGCACTTTCACTTTAAAATATCTTTCTAAAGATATACATATCGTCGTTTAAAGTACAAAATCGCGTATCAACAAAATGAAAAACCCGCTTGTGAATTATGTAAATTATCTTCTAGAGAGTAAAGACCCTCACATTTAAAAATGGTTCTCTTTTTATTATTACCTTCCTTTTATTAGCTCGGGTTGTAACTATGTAATATTGATGCGCCTAAAAGATACAGCGATTTCTATTCTTAAATTACATACCTGATGACAGTACGAATAGCAATTATAATAGGGAGGTTTTAGTTTTTTAAACTATAATTTTTTTATAAAGCAATCGCATATCTGGCCACTATTTTTCAGGACGAATGGATAATGATTGAGCCAAGAGCTTGTTTGAGCAAATCCAATTTTTGGCAGCTGATGCCAGTTACGCGGTTTTGCAGAATGATGATACCCGGTTTTGTACCTTAAATGACGATATAATGCTTTCTATCTTAGAAATATGGTTTAGTTGCAAGAGTTCTTTATTACAAAACATTTTTGCCTATTTATACATACATACATATGTATAAAGGACAAAAATTCTTAAAAAAAATAAAATAAATAAATACAAATCCTGACGCCAAAGGGAAAAACCAAAAGCGCATTTTTACTATATTTGGCCCATATTTTCGTAAATAGTATATTGATTGCTTCGTGTGTTTCGAAATTTATTTGTTCTTGTCAGGCGACAGCAAAAAATCGGTAATCGCTTTTAGTGGTAACGTGTTCTAGAAGGCATAGCGTTATAATGCCTTCGAATTTTCTCGCTTCTGTCCTACAATATTTTATTTGTTTCGCTTCTTTGCTTAATTTCAGGGAATGCAAAGTAGAATGTCCTACAATATTTTATTTATTTCGCTTCTTTGCATTCATTTTAGGGAATGCAAAGTAGAATGTCCTATATTATTTCTTCCTTAATTCGTTTCTTTGCTTCATTTCGGAGAATTCAAAGTAGAATACTGCATCGTAGTCAGCTGAAAAATAGAATGAATAACCAAAAATTCTTTTTCTACCGTTACTTTCTGTGGAAATTTGTCTCGCATAAAAATCATGTTTTGCTTTGTTCAATTTGCAGCGAAGTTGAAGTCAGTCAATGAAGTGAAGTACAAGAGTGAGGAAGTATAATTTTAAGCTTTATTAAATATACATACCGATTTTTAAGTAAAATCTAAATACCTAAATACATAGATACATATGTATGTATAAAAACTGATTTATAAAAATGTTAATTAATTTTAATCTTTTAAGACCATTTCTGATTTCAATTTAATATAAATAAGTATGTATGTACTTATCTAGGCATTCTACATTAGTTTGTCTGTAAGGAATTCTTTGTTCACTTCTCTGGATTCTGTTTATCCATGCGTTCTCCCTTCTTGAAGCGAAAGGGTAAGCGATTCCCATCGCCTAGCTCATTTCCACTTACGTTTCTGGGGTAATCGTGTTTTTTTTCTGGGGTGTTACACGAGTATAAAGTTGCTCATACGCCATGTAGTTTCGTACAAGAAGAGGACTAGAATGCTATGAATGCGGCAGCATTTCAATATAAAAGTACAAAGGGTATATACATAAATCATAAGTTAGAACTCCTTAAAAGACTTTTTTTCCAGCAATATTTATTTCCAAGTTTTTATTTTATTGTTTACGCGTTATTTTCTTTAATGCAAGATTTTGCTTTACTTCAAAAACGACTCTTGACCTTACCAAGCAATGCATTAAGACACGGACATCTTTTTTAAATGCTAACTACAACTGCGTCTAACTTATTACTATGTTGTACTGAAAATAGTATACGTATCTAACATTTTATAAGGCAATTTACTGCGTACTAATTAAAGCAGTGTATGCGTATAAAAACTAACATTAGCCATAAATTGCATGAGGTAATAAAGTATAACCATAAAATTTAATGAAACCTAATAATGTTACCTATTTATAGCTTAAGCAGCTTTTCATGTGGTCAATGTGCATACGGTAATGGCCTTCTTATACAAACATACCAAAAAATATATGTATAGCTAGAAATTATATTTAAATGCATTCTACTGTAGTTTTACTTAATGTAACGCTGTTGGCTGTAAACAATTATGTGTAATTGTTAGACTTAATGCATTTAACGAGCCTTTAGAGCATTTGACGATGGTTACATCTTCGTAATTGTGTGAGCGTAGTTATGCCACACTTGATAGCATATTTAAACAAGAATTAACCTTATTAACTAAAGATGTACTACCACATTGAAATCTATTGTAAACATCTGTGTATATGTATTGAGTATGTAAGGATATATGTGTGCTAGACAAAATATTGAAATAACGTTATTTATTTTTGTAATTGTGTAGTAAGTAATATACTCAAGGCATTGACTCTAGCCAACTTGTAGCATGCCAACTGTTGTGCGCGTCTACGTTAGCCGGCTGCAGACTCTATCAGCTAAACTTGTAGTTCTCAATGTCCGCCTACATGTGCATATCTATCCTTGTACTTATGTCATAGTAGTATAAGAAGTATATTTTATAGCTAACGGTTATGCCGTCATGTAGTTGTAAATATACATATATGTATGGGCAAACGTGCATAAGTAGTAGTTAGTTGAGACAAGGCGCATCTTGCTTGGAAACGCTATTGATACACTTCATATTCAAGTGATTTACATTTTTTTTACCAATCACTCTCTTACCCTGTCTATGTTCTTCCTTTTTCTTTCTATACACGATTATACTCTTAGATATGCCGCCGAAGCATTCGCGTGGATTTCTTCATTGTAAGTTAACTTTTGCCATAAAAGATTTATTGAATATAAGTGGTATGTAAACACATAAAAAGAAGACCTTTAGTTATCTGTGTGAGGTATGGATGTGTGCGTATATACATGCAAATATATACCTACTAAGAACAGTTTAAGTGTGTATGGTTGTTCCAGCAAATATGTTAACTTTTCCGGTTACTACATATTTTTATAGATGTAGGAAATGTTTTTTGCTACATATATCGATGGAAAGACATTAAAGTTTCAAAGCCAAATTTCAAGACTTTTTAGTTTTTTTAGTTTAGGAAACAAAGAACAAAAAGTGTTAACTTTTGCCTATAATATATATATATTTTTTTTCAGTAACCAGATACACTCGTGCATATTCCGTACCGACGATACGCTTGCGCTTAAAATTTAAATTTTTTATTTTTTATTATTTATTTAAAATATTTTTTTTTTTTATAAAAACATAGTTAATTCTTTGATAAAAACTATATACATGCAAACTTCAAATGTTAGGAAAAACTTGTAAAAAATTCAACAAACTTTCGTAAAAATTGCGAGCTTTTTAATTGGATTTCTTAGAAAAATTTTTAATATGCAGTTTATAGCACATTCAATTTTAGTATAATACAGTGCAAGACAAAAAAATTGTCGAACATATACTTGAACTTTATTATACTGCATACTCAAAAATTTTCTAAGAATATTAATTTAAAGGCTTGAAGTTTTTACGAAAGTTTTTTAATATTTTCTTTTTCTAATTGCACACAATTTGGAACTTTGATTTACCCAGTTTTTGTTAAACAATAAACTATGCCTTCATAAAAAAATAATTGAAATTGAATGATAAAAACACAGAATAGTCAAAACTTGTCAATATGTGGGCGGCGTATAATTGAGATAACCACTATAAGTCAGAGACAAGAAGGTGTGAAATGAGTTGGGTTTTAATTTATAATCTGAACCATTCTTTCAATTGTTCCAAACAAAATTCAAGAAATCCTTGACTTGACACAGACCAGAATACGACTTTCTAAATGTAAAATATAGGAAGATTTATATATGGGTCATTTCATGTAAAAGAGGAAAACGATATACATTTGAAAATATCATTTAACTCTTTTATTTATATGCATACGAATAGGTTCTATACTATATATTTTTTTATTGCTTAGGCTTCACTCAATAAAGTATATTGATGCAAAGTGTTAAACTATGAGACTAAACAAAACTAAATATAATAAGATATATAATATGAAAGAATTAAAAAAAAATACTGGTTTTACTTTCTTAATCATTACAATATTTTTATGTAGATGCACTTGACAGATTTGCAGCTTCATCGATGTTTGTTTCCTTGACGACTATAAATTAAAGAAAAATTATAAGGCAAATTTCAGTGAAAAGTCATACATGTACTTACTTTTAATTACATTAAGTAGTGCTCCTGGCTTAGGCTTGCCGTTGATAGGTATGTAACTGATGGAATTGCCTATTTATCAAGTCCCACATTGAAGCGCAAGACGCAGCGTAGGCGACGTTAAAAACATTGTATGCTTAAAAGCATAGTATATCCACAGCTTTAATATTTAATTTTGTATTGATTTTTTTTACCCAGCAAATCCCTTTTAAAAATGTCTTAAATTATATTGTACGTTTCACAGCAGCCAACAAGTAATTCCGCAATGACACGCGATACAAAAAATATGATGAAATATTAAACTGCCGGTAATTGAGTTTATTGTACGAAAATATTCGTATGTTGTACGAATTTAAAAAAACATGTTTCTGCATTAGTACTTTATACGAAAGTATTAACTAAATTGTATGAATACAGAATTGTAGATTTCGTAAATTTAAAACCATACGTAAATATTACGAATGCTTTCCTACAATATACAAAATTATTCGTACAGAGATTTGTTCAGTGCTTTACGAATGTGTTTCGTAAAACAAACGTAAGATTTCGTAAATTGTACTGAAAAAATGCCTTACGAAAGTCCTTTCGTTATGTACGTATGGTTCGTAAAATCTTGTTTCGTTGTAAAAAATATGTTCGTATTATGAACGCAAGTTGCGTACATTATACAAAAACCTACACTACGAAAGATTTTCGTAGCACTTTTACGAAATTTTATTTTCAGTTTACAACCTCCACAAAGTTATGTTTCGGGTGTATTCCGTGTTTTTTTTTTTTTTTTGTCACACTATGTAATTAGTTGCGACAGCAATCAGTATAAAATCTCGTACACGCCTACCTTAAACTGTTTTTTTTTTCTAATTAGACAACATGGCATACAACATCCTTTTCTCGTGCAGTTAAGTTGTTTGGCATACATAAATGCTGGTAGAAACAATTAAACCATCAAATCACTCTGCGTGCTCTCGCATTAATTTGTATTTATCTTCACACATGTGAATATACATACATTTGTACATGTATTCCCAACGGGGAGCATGTGTTTGAACACACTTGCTGGAATGACAGTACGTGACAGTAAAAAGGCATTGTTGTTTGTTATCCTTTTACACGATTTGCAGTGAGAATGGAAAATTTTACAACACATGCCTTTTAGCATTTTGCGGTTTTCGAACAACACATGGGCAAACATGTGGATTACAAACATAAACACGGTTTTATATACATACATATGTATCTACATTTGTGTACATATGTATATGAATATAGGTTCTTATATATGTATATATGTATATACAAATGTAGATAAAAAATAAAACGCGCAAATATTTGTAATGTATGCAAATTTTATTGAAACCTAAACGGCTCAATACATCAATCGGCTTTAAATTGCATTGTGTGTTAAGCAAACACACCGCCGCTGGCATTATTGTCGCCTTTTTTAGCGCACTTTCGCTATGGTGGCTACTTTCTTAGGTCCTTTGGGGTCGCTGAATTTACATCAACGTCACATCTGGGAAATGTGATAGCTACGTGGAAATAAATACTCTATTGAGAAAATTTAATTTTAAAATGTATGACTGGAAAGTTTGCGAGAACGAGGTAAAATAAAAAATTTAAAGGTATTTTAAATATGTATTCAAAGAAAAAATGTAGGGGCCCAACTTAACTATGTCCAATGCAAAAAGAATTTTACTCAAATATTAAGAGTGGGTTTTTTACTTTTTGATCAAAAATCAAATTGCAATAAATTTACATAAATGAAATTTGAGATATAATTCGGCTTCAAAATAATTCCTACATACATACATACATATACACAAAACCGATAATTGGAAGTCTTTTGGCGACATAATATCAGCACTCAAAAGCATACTAGCCAACGTGTTATTCGGGTGTACATGGCGTATGAGTAACATTATTTCCTGCTCATTTTTCATACAAAAAATCTTTGCGCATTTTCATTTTACCCCTCATTACTTCGTGTTTATCCATCGATTTTCTTCATCAGTAGCTTGTTTTTTTCTTTTTGTAACAGAACAGGCTTTAGTATAAATGCAAAAATTTGGCACAGAACCTGTTATTATTTTAATTTTTCTTCTGTTAAAGTTTGATTGTTTTAATTTTTTAATTAAAAAATAAAAATAACACTGGAATGATTAATTAATTTGTCAGAAACTATCAGTCCCATCGGAAAGTGATGTATATATGGTTTATGGCGAATTTCATTAGCTCTCATCTACCGTATTTTATATTAAGATTTTTGAACTGGTTCGCAAGATATACGTGATTAAAAGGGACCAATTTTTCCTTTAAGCTGAATAACGGTAAATTGCAAATATCTCGAAAACGTATCCATAGAAATCAAAAAATTAATCCGACTTTCGGAATCACCGAGCAAATCTACATATAAATTAGATAGTGGCATCTGGAGAACAAAAACCAAATTAAAATTTTTGATCCAGTGTAATTAGATCATGACTAGGATCATCTTCTCAAATTTTCTCCTGAAAAAATTTATTCAAGGGAAAATAAATATTAAAAGCTACTTAGAGACCAACAAAACCTATTTTGGTGGTGCATGTGTGGCGTGAGGCAATTGTGTCTGAGTATGTATGTATACTATTAAACCAGCCAATCTGGTATATGATGGCCGAAAATTATCTGGATTAAAATATCGAAATGCCCTATTCCTCAATTTGATAGGAAATATGTTTAATTATTTAGTTACTAACTATTAGAAATTTTCGCACCGGACTGTTTGTTTCTCGTTCATCGTATCGTGGTGGAAGAAATAAAGCAGGGATGGGCGTTTTTGAATGAATTTTTATTCAAATAAAAAATAAAATTTTATTCATAATTTTTATAATTTTGAATGACGAATAAATTTTTATTCTTTATTCAAACACTTTCG